TTCTTGCTTCTGCTGCTGGGGAAGACATCACAGCGTGGAAGTGTGGAGTTTTGATGGGGGGGGGGGGGCTGGCTGACTTCCTCTAGTTGAAATCAGGCTTTCTCCCGATAATCCACCTTCTGCCATGGTTGCCTGATTTTCCCTCCAAGCACCCCAAATATTCAGGAAACCCGGAAATCTTGATAGATTTTTAAAAGTCAGTTTAGGCTCTCTGTGAAGTTCCCAAGAGATGACCTAATTAATTTACAAGCCTTGAGACAGAGTTCAAACAAAACCCCTTCATTTATTAGGACCAACATTTTAGCATTACTTCTGTGAAGCCTAAACTGACTTTCGCTTAATTGCATTTGAACTTTACCCTTCTAACTCCCGTCTTCTGTCGTGCATCATAAATCATATTCTCCAACTAGATTGTAGAAATATGAGACCGAAGGTATGCACAGAATTCTCCTCCCTTCTAAAGTTGATAGTAGTTATGGAAATGCTTTAGACGTTGACACATAGCATATGTTATGTACTACATTGTTATGGCGTTTGTACGTTCTGCAGCTCCGTTCGTACTCGGATGAAAAGCCAAGCTAAGTCCTTGAGTCGACCCGATGGATTTCAGGAATTCTCTCCAACTTCCGGTTCTACTTCTGGCGCCTTCAAAAGCCTGATCCACGAGCTCCGCAGTCGGCTCCGAACTCTCCACATCGGAGGGTCCAAATTTGGACCATAGCCACCCTAAAGGGGTGGTGAAGTAAAGGGGGACTGTTTGGAAGGTAGAGGAGAGCCTCATCTCTCCTCCCTGACTTGGAAAGCCTCCTCATCTGAAGATGAGGAGCAGCGGCAGCCAAAATGGCCACCATGAAGCCGGGGACAGCCTGAATACTCAAGACTGCTTGAGTGGAGAAAGTGAACAGAGTGTGATCTGGGTGAGAAAATATTTTTTCTTGGAAGTTGACCGCAGAAATCCAAGGGGGAAGCATATTTAAAGCTAATTGTTGAAGCAGCAAATGGGCACACAGGAAAAATACCAGAGAATTGAAGAAAGAAAAAATCTGTTTTTTAAATGATAAACATAAACCTGGTTCTCAAAGGTAAAAGATGTGATATTGAGAGCATTTTAAAACACTGGAATTAAAGTCCCAAATTCCTTTTACAAATATTGCTTAATTATTGGATTTATAAGTTAAAATAATTGAAATTGGAACTGTTAACAACATTGCAGAGAGGCTGAAGCAGACAGACGTGAGAGCACCATCTGCTGATGAAAAGGGAAATATGCAAGCTTGGAAATAACTATTTAAAAAGACTGAAAATATTTGTTGGACATGGATCTACTCTAAGACCACTAGGGATTTGATTATTAGCTAAGGACTTCAGTTAAGACTCCCTCAACATCATTGAATATTATTGAACATATAAAGTAAATTGAAGAGGTGTGGATAACCTCCTGGTGAATTTAAATTGATTGGACTGACTATTGATGAGATATTTAAAATTGTAACTTGAAAGTTTTGCTTTTTGAATTAATGAACTCTGGACAGTGGGCTAAAAAAGAGATTGACTAAATACAGACGCAATATAAGACATATATTGTCTTATGCTTTTTCAAAGCATTGAGAAAATATTTGACCGTATAGACCAAAAACTGGAAAATATAATACAAAGAATAATGGACAATGATCTGGACAATGAAGAAAGAATGGAGCCACCAGAAGAAACAGAGGGGAAAGTGGAGAGAAACCTGCAAGAATAAGATAGCAATAGCAATAGCAATAGCAGTTAGACTTATATACCGCTTCATAGGGCTTTCAGCCCTCTCTAAGCAGTTTACAGAGTCAGCATATT